GCTTTCTTCCATCCAGCCACTCTTCTATCCAATGTGATAACTTATCCCCCACATCTATAGAGATAACTTTTTTAAAAGCCTTTTATTTGGCACCTTGTCAAATGCTTTCTGAAAATCCAGGTACACCAATTCTACACCCTTACCCTCATCTACATAGGCCATAACCTTTTCAAAGAATGTCAAAAGATTTGTGAGGCAAGATTTTCCCTTAGTAAAACCATGTTGACTATCCAATAAAATTCTATATTTTGTTAAATGACTTTGGAAAGCATATTTTAACAAACTTTCCAAAGCTTTTCCCACAACTGATGTAAGACGTACATTGAGAATTATAGCGTTTGTTATAGCGCGACTGTTGAAATTAAGTGTATCGCAAAGTTATATTCAGAAAGAATAAACCAGTTTTATTTAAGAAAGGACTTGTGTTGATAAAGTTTCGTCGGAACGAATTTATGGAAAATTAAATAACAAACGGAGACGTAACAATAATGTATTTAGCCTGATTTATGTTATAACCTACCTACACCGATAAGCTGAATTTAAACTAATTGATCTAAGTTCTAGTAAGCAAGTTAATTCTTAAAACACCAAGAGACAATAAAATAGTTTTTAGATTGTATTTATTTAATAAAACAATGTATTTATCCTGTTTTACCATTAAATTGAAATATACCTAAGCCTAAAGTACCATTATATGTACTAAGCATATTTTAACATTGTGGTAAATTTTATACTACTAATCTCTAAATTAAAACTCCGACCATCTTACTTTTATTTACCAATCTTACTATATCTAGTTATTATTGTGTTATTTAACTGAAATTACTAAAAATTATAATATTAATATTAAATAACTTTCAGAAATCTATAAAAGCTTAACTTTTCAGTCTTCCCTCTTCAGTCGTGCCCTCACTGAGTTTCAAATATTTTGTTACTCTTTTTATTGTACAAAGTGTTTCAACACATTAGGATATTTGTTTAACAACAAGTAAAAGCTTGGAATGGTCTATTCTTTCATTAAAATATTGTGAATGCAAATTAATGAGTAGGTAAAGCATCTGAGTTGTTACTAGTGGTAGGGCAAATAGGATTTTTAGGTTGTATCTACAGAAACATTGAATACAAGTCTAAAGAGGTTATAATTTCCTTGTATAGGTCACTGGTTAGGCCACATTTGGAATACTGTGTTCAGTCTTGGGTTCCTTACCTTAGGAAAGACATTGAATTGTTGCAAAGAGTTCAAAGAATGGTGCCTGGGATGGAGGGGTTGTCATAAGAGGAGAGGTTGAAATCTCTCAAATTGCTTTCTCTTGAAAAAAAGAAGAGTTAAGTGGGATTTGATTGAGGTGTTTAAGATTGTAAAGGGAATTGACAGTGTTGATACATCATATTTTTTCATACTTAACAGTGAGAATAGTAGGACTAGGGGACACAAGTATAAATTTTGGCAAGGTAGGAGTCATCTTCAGTTTTATTTTTCCAACAGGGTGGTTAGCTTTTGGAATGGATTGCCTTCGTATTTTATGGAGGCAGTAAATTTAAGTTAGTTTAAGAGGAAGCTTGATAAATTTATGAATGATAAGGACTG